TTTTTAAGACATTTAACATTTTAAATCAATTTTTATGTAATGTGGTTATATCACTTTATAATGAAATCCATTACTTTATGTTCATAAATATGATAAACAGCTAAAGTAGTGGTTGTTATAAATTGGTGTTTCATTTTCATTGTTGTTGGTAAGCAGGAACAGGTCTCACAGTCCCAGACCCTCGTTCTTAACCTTGGCTGCCTACAGCAGTCGCCTTAAAATCTACTGATTTTCGGGTACCCCCTAGAAATTTGTATTGTGCAAATCTTAGATTAGAAAATGTGAATAACATGATTTCTTATGCTTTTTAAAAATTAAGTTAATGTTAGTTTATAGCACTCTGTTTTAGGAGTTAGAAGTTCAAACCTCCACTAACGTATGTTTTCATATCATGTCCACCACCAAAGCCCCAATAATCCTCTACCATATTCCATTGGGTCCACTTCCTCCTCAGTTGTTCCCCCAACACCCATCCCCTTTGGTTGCCTCTGTTTTGCAGTCAGATGTTTAAGGGTTTGTTTTTGGCAGACCTTTTGTATTGTTTCTTTATATTCCACATATAAGTGAAACAATCCAGTATTTGTCTTTCTCCTTCTGATTTATTTTTTTATAGTATTAACCTTCTAGTTCCATCTATGGAAAACATTTTTAATTGTTTTTTTATAGGTGCTTATTTCAAAATAATTCCAAACTTACATTAAGTTTGAAGATAATTCATTAATCTTTAAATTTTGTCACAATTTTTCATTCTCTTTCTTATATATAAGAACTAATTTTCTCTTAAAACCACCTTAAGAGGGCCTCCCCAGTGGCGCAGCGGTTGAGCACTGGGTTGCGAAGCTGCCCGCACCTCTGCAGCGCCGGTTTGATCCCCAGCTGCTCCCCGGCCAGGCCAGCAGAGGAGGGTCCCACATGGCGCGCAGACCTCTCCTGCCGCCCGCTGCTCCCCTCAGCAGTGTGCTTCAGTCCTTCTGCCTGCTCTGCTCCCCACTCTGGCTCTGGTGAATTCTCTTACCCTCCCGCACTTCTGACTGTACCCAGTCCTTGTATAAATAAATAAATAAATAAATAAATAAATAAATAAATAAATAAATAAATAAATAATAAAATCTTTAAAAAAAAAAAACCACCTTAAGAAAGGTTGCATACACTATGCTTCTTTACCCTGTAATACTTCAATATTTTCTGAAGAAAAAGATATTCTCTTCCATAACCTAGTTCAGTTATCAAAGTCAAGAAATTCATGTTGAGACAATCATTTATAATCCATATTCTGATGCTAAGCTGAGCATTGGACAAGGCCTCCATTCCATGGAGGAATTGGCTGCCTTCCAATTGTAACCATGGCAATAAAAATCCAAATATCCAAAGTAGTAGGAATGAATCCTTACAGCAGGAACCATCCCTGACTTTCCTCCCTTCCAATCTGTGAGCTCCCCTATATCCTTCTAACCAATCTTCTTTTATTCTAATGAAGTCCTTAAGTTAGCTGAGGCAATTTCTATTGCTTGCCACCCAGGAGCCCTGTTCTTTTGGACATTTACATAGTGGAAGGTCCAACAATGCAAAAATACTTTGAAAAACTAGTGAGTGCTAATTAACAAAGTGAGGTTTATGAGGTTAAGGGGTAGGGAGGATGGAGACGGTGTTAAAAGTGTATAAGGAACTGTGGATGGAAAAAGAAACTTGTTCAATGTTAAAATATCTAAAAGAAATACCAACAAAAAAAATGAAAAAATCGGAGCAGAAAGCATAAATGAAAACCTGCTTCTCCCAATATTCGAGAGAGCCACATGGACTGGGACTGCCTTCGGAGTTGCAAATTTGAAAGCATACTCCATTATTGATATTTCCCTATGCCTGGAGAGCCTGCCAGATGGAAGCCCAGCAGAGACTTGTTAAGTCTAGGCCTGTCGCTGAAGTTTCCCCAGGTCTGAGGAGGGAGAACCTGTCTATAGCCCAGGGGACCCACCCTAGCCTCCGGGGGGATGTCAGAAGCCTTCTTTGTCTGGCATTCCAGTATCCAGGCATTCAGGTGCAATGCTGTCGCTGCTCTGTGATAAAGGAACTCTGGATCAGGGAATGTCTGTCTCAGCTTGTCTGCTCAGCTCCTGGAGTTGTGAGCTGCATATTTCCCTAGAGGAAGAAAAATACTGAAAAAAAAAAAAAAAAAAAAAAAAGATTTTGTCTCTCTGCTTTTTGCTCTCCAACTTAGGTTGGCAGAATGTGTGGGAATGTCAAGGAAAGAAGGAAGTGAGGTCTTAATGTTCCCTTGAGTTTAAAAACACTAGGTTTCTCTTTCTTCTTTCTGACTTACTCTTCTCAAAAGCTTATGAACTACTGGTTCACAAGAATGATTCAGAAGACCCATTAAACAGAAAGAAGGCTTAGATTCAAACCCCGCTGCAAACAGAATAAAATGCAGGGAGTGACTGTGTGCTATTTGTGGTTGCTTTAACATTCTATTAAACCTGTGGTACATCTTATTATCATTGTTACAAATCCAGAAAATAGAGTATACATTGCAGTGAAAAAGAGAATTGTGAAATGAAAGGAGCATCAGCTTTGGATTAACAGGCTTGGACTTGAGTCATAGTTCAGTCACCAAAGTGCTAAGTGACCCCAGGCAAAGTTCTTCACATTGTTTTCAGAGTCAAAAGACAATAGAAAGCTCTCAGCACTGAACCCAGCATGCGGTGAGCGCACAACAGTCATTAGCTTTGTGTAAGTGTTGATCTCTCCTAGCTGGCTCCTTGAGGACAGGAGCATAACCTTTGAACCTCTTGCAGCTGGCATACAGTAGCTGCTTTTTAAATTTCTGCTGATTTGAATTGGATAAACCTATAGTAATGATATGTCATCTGATATAAGTTTTAAATTCATTAACAGACTTATTTCAGAGTTGAGAAATGGATGAGAACAGAAGGGGATCTGACTTGGCTATTCTGTGTTGATAAATCATTCCCAACCTTTATCTTATTGCAAAAGGAGTGACCTAGGACCTTCCGGGTGGATCAGCAGGTTGAGCACAGCACTGTGAAGCTGTCTGCAGCCTCTGCAGCGTGGGTTTGATTCCCGCTGCCCAGGGGGATACCCACATGGCTTGGCAGACCTCTCCTGTCTCACCCACTGCTCCCCTCAGCAGTGCTTTCCATCTGTCTGCCTGTTCTGCTCCCCGCTGTCTCTGGTGAATCCTCTCACCCTCCCGCTCCTCTGGCCTGTACCCCAGCTCTTGTTTAAATAAAATAAAAAATCTTTAAAAATATATATTTAAAAAAAAGAAGTGACATAATGTAGATGCATTGAAACTGGAGGTATGTCTAATGTCATGCAAGAATTGTCATGGTCGCCAAGGTATTTGTCCAGTGGAAAATCTATTCTCCAGAGGTCCAAAATGCCTTTCATAGAAACAGAGAGTGTTATAGAGCAGCCCCGATATTGAACGGGTTCCTGGCTGTGGGTCCTCACCCGCGCACTTAAAAGGGACTTAAGAATACTCCACTACAGGCATACACAAAAGGTTAATAAAAGGTTTATTTACAAGGGAAAAGGAAATAAGGAAAATGTACAACTCAGGGAGAAAATAGGGAAATAAAGTCTTTAATGTGTCCTACCCTATCCGACGACCTGGAAACCCAAAGTCACTCTCAGAGCTGGCCAGACGCTGTGAGCTGGCGGAGAGCCAAAATGGGGATCCCCCAAAGCCCACCTGTCTGCCTTTTATATCAACCTGGCTGCTTAACCCACCCTCAGATCCCAGCCACCTTCCCTTTGGTGGTGATGGGATTTGGAGTTCCCAGTGTCTTTGGCTTTGGCCTGGGGTGGGGGTGGAGTCCACAAAGCCTGTATGGAATTAGCTTTAGGACATCCTTTTCCCCCTAACAAGAGCAAAAAACTTGAGTCCCATGGAAAGATCACAAATGACTGAAAAACCAGGTACAAGCATAGGGCCTCAAGAGATCCAAAGTTACCACATAATCTGTGCAAACCTACCCTGTAGAACAGGGCAAAATTTTTATTAAAATGAGTAGATCAAGGCTTTCTGGTTGTTCTTTGGGCACACAGCTAAGCAAAGATTAAAAATGGCATTAAAAATAATCACTCTAGGGCCTCCCCAGTGCGCAGTGGTTGAGCTTTGGGTTGCGAAGCTGCCCGCGGCCTCTGCAGAGCCTATTCGATCCCAGCCGCTGGGCAAGGGTCCCACATGGTGCGCAGACCTCTCCTGCTGCCCTCTGCTCCCCTGTTCTTCGGTACTTCTGTAACTGCCCCTCTCCCTGTCCTGTAACACTTCTGCCTGTTCTGCACTCCGCTCTGGTTCTGGTGAATTCTCTCACCCTCCTGCACTTCTGACTGTACCCAGGGCATGTATAAATAAATAAATAGATAGATAGATAAATAAATAAATAAAAGTTTAAATAATAATAATAATAATAATAATCATTCTAGCTCAGGCCAATAATTGTAGGACCAGTACAAGATATAAAAGGAGAAACACGTCCAAGCCAGCTAAGTGAGTAGTTTATGTGAAAAGGGTTGTATATTGCAAATGATTCCCCATTTTTAGCATTATTATTTTTCTATGTCTCTCTTGGCTTGTTGGTTTAGTTCTGCCAATGCCCAGACTATACACATCTGGGCCAATGGTGGTAATAAAGTCCCAAACCTGCCAACATCTAGTTAGCTTTTCAGTCTTGTTCTGATTTTGGGTGAAGGCATATTGTCAGATCTACAGGAAGAAATGCTGTACACTTGGAACTTATATGTTATAAACCAGTATTACTTCATTAAGTATTTTTTAATTAAAAATATAAAATGAAAATAGAAATAAAGCTGAAGGAAGGAAGGAAGGAAGGAAGGAAGGAAGGAAGGAAGGAAGGAAGGAAGGAAGGAAGGAAGGAAGGAGGAAGGAAGGAAGGAGGAAGGAAGGAAGGAAGGAAGGAAGGAAGGAAGGAAGGAAGGAAGGGTAACTGAGCCCATCAGCTCAAATCTAAAGGACTTACAGTACAACTGATCACAGTTAAGGGGTAGGGAAGGATGACTTGTTTCCGTTGTAAGCTGGAGTGGAAAAGGTCATGCCTCATGCTCCTGAGGAGAGAAAACCTTTTGTAATTCTGTAATGAAATGGTGCATTGATAGGACTATAAAAAAAACAGCAATGCTCTTAGCACTTTTTTTTTTCACTTAGCACAAACTGAGTAATGCATTGGAAAAACATTAACTTGATTACAGTTACCTCTTTCTTGTGGATTTAATACACTTGTTGAGATGAAAAATGAACAGTAAGATCAAGAATTGGTGTTGAAAGGGAATTTCTTTTAGATGTTTGAGGAACAGTGATGCTGGACATGCCCCAGCTACTCATCATACTGCACTGTGGGTGACAGCACAATTGCTTCTCTCTTGGCTTGCTGGTCATTTGTGACTTGGAAATATTCTTGTTAGGGCATCAGTGTATATGGACATGAGATTCTTACTTTTCACATCAGGAAGCCTGTTTTCTATGTCAGGACACTGACGCAGTGACTTTGAGTTCTTCCAGAGCCTACCAGTTCATCCTGTATTAATAATAGAGTCATTCTGAAGGAGTATGGCTTCCGTATTTATGCACATATTATCTTCCCTGATAATCGTATCAAAAAGGTGAACTTGGTAACATCCCCATTTGTTTGAAGGGAATACAGACAATGAATGTTAAGTGTTAATGTTAACACAAGATAAAGTCAGATTCAGCAGGCAAAGATTATGGTTTCGAGGAATCATCTAATTGTTACAGGGCAGGGAGAGGGGCACTCTAGAACCCCCAAACCTGCCTGTTCTAACTAGGTTCTGCCATTCTTCGTAAAGACAAAACATACTCTAGTGCATACGATCTTTAATAGAAAGGAAATTGAATACAATTAATGTGCAACAAAGAAAAGACAAAGAATATAGTTTTCAAATCAAGCACCTGAAGTTATCCATCCTCTCGTGGGTAAAAGTCCAGCCAAACAGGGTTGGTCCAGAGCAAGGCCCGAAAGCCTGCCACAAGTCTAAAGCATCTTCGGGCGGAGGCCCACAGAAAAGTGTCAGAAACAGTCAGGCAAGTTTGGGAGGAAAGAACAAAATCAAAATCAAAATAAAAGCTGCCATTGGTAACCTTCCCATGGATCTCTCACCCACCTCTGTTTCAAGTGTCTCCTTCCATGTCCCCCAGTCTCTGGAAGTTTGTTCCTTTCTTTCTTCCTATCTCTGCCTTCTCTCCAGCTTGTCCTCCTCTCTACTCAGCTTCACCCTCCCTTGGGTGGGGACAGGGAACTGGAACAGCCCCTCACCCTGGGAACCACCCAGTTATAATATCTCTGTAGATCTTAGGATCATTGCCTGACAAAGGAATTGAAATACAATGAGTGGTCTTAATTTTTTTTCCGACAACCAACTCTACCAATTCTTTGCCAATGAATACACTTCTAATATATACAAAAACATAAATGAAATAGGTTACACAAAAATATATGGAACTTCCCAACATATATTTTCTATATTCCATCTAGTTTATTATTTAAAAAAAAATCCTATTTGTGACCAACCACATTGACTTCAGGAGCCACTAATGGATTGCAGTTTAACAGTTTAACGTTTGAAAAACAATGAACTATGCAATGCTAATGACCCTTCCAGGGTTTCTTTCCTCTTATGCACCCAAAGCCAAGAAATCAGGACTCATGCCTGGTGTAGTCTCCTCCCTCTCACTGCTCAGCTGTTAAGACAGGGTAAGGCCGTCTTCCTCCACATTCACTGCCATATTAATTCATCCTAGTGTAGTCTACAATCTTCCTGTGATTGATTCAGTTATTTAAAAAATTGATTAATTTATGTCACAAACCCTTTGGTTTGGGAAAACAAATCTGTTTTTTTTTTAAAGATTTATTTTAGTTATTTATGCATACAAGAGCTAGGGTGTAGGCCAGAGGTCGGAGGCGGGGGAGGTGGGGATGAGAGGATTCACCAGGACAAAGTGGGGGGCAGAACAGGCAGATTGACTGAAATACACTGCTGAGGGGAGCAGCAGGTGAGTCAGAAGAGGACTGGTGGGCCATGTGGGTCAGCTCCCTGGCTAGGGATCAAACTCTTAATGCAGTGGTTGCAGATAGCTTCATAGTGCTGAGACTTAACCACTTGCATCAGCAGGGAGGCCCCAAATCTGGGTTTTGACCCAAACGTCACTAAACACTCACTCTAATCTTCAATCTCCTTGCTTGAACAATCGGAAAAATGAGGTTGTTGTGAGAATCAACCATGAATGTTGGAAGTCTACCACAGCACAGCACAGGCATCATGAGTGCATCAAAGACTCTCAAAAATGATACTCCATGCCAGGTGTGCCAGGCCCAGGATTGGCACTGGTAACAAAAGCACTCCATCTGGAGTGCATCCCTGAGGGACTCTAGTGGTTCTCTTGCTCACCTTCTCTTTTTGTTTTGTAAACGGTCTTTTAAATTTAGCAATATATTACAAATATTTTTCTGTTGGCAAGTAGGTTTGTAGGAGATAACTATTAATGCTTGGTTAGTATTCCATTTTATATTTGGATCATAATTTATTTTACCATTTCCCTATTTTTTAGGCATTTCTAATTTTTTACTTTGATAAATTTTTATATAACGATAATATATGAGCACTGAATTATGAAGTAGAGAAGTTTTTAATTAGAAAAGTAAAATCTTCCCCCCATTCTACAACCCCTTCTCTCCATTCTGCACAATAACCCTTATTAATAATTTATTGAGCATGTTCATATATATTTCTAATGCATACACAAGCAATTTTCAATAATATTTATGTATCTGTGCAACTGGTATCTGTGCAACTTGGTAATACCGACTTCTGCAATAGGCTTTTTTTTTAAATTAGTATATTTGGCAGGTCTTTTGTTGCCTGTATATGTAGAAATACTTCATTCTTTAAGAGGCTGTATGAATTCAACTGTATGATGGACCATATTTATTTACTCCATCCCATATGAGCCATATTCAACATATCCTGGAAGTTCTTTCTAGATTTTGCTCTCATAAACAATTATGCCATTAACACCTGTGCACCCTCTTGAGCTAGCTCTAGAACATCTGTTGGAGTGTAATGATCTCATGCATTTAAAATTTTGATTTATATTGCTGAATTATACTCTAGAAAGTTGTATCAATTTAGGATTATATCAACAGTGTATAACAGTGTTTCTCTTTGTATACCCTTCCTAAACATGGTTTTATCAACATTTTATATTTGTGATTTCTCTTTTACCTCATTAGGAAATATTAACAAGAATGTTTAATTCAGTTGAGGAAAGTAGATGTATGAATAAGAGGGATTAATGCTCTTACAAATCTTGGAATAATTTTGGGGGAGTTGTTCATAGGGTAAGCCATCCTGCTTCCAGAAGAGATTTGACTGACCATTGGCTGCCTGCATAACACACTGTTTTCTGAAGGTTCAAGAACCACCATATGTTAATTGTGACTCAAATGGTATAACACAAAATGGAATATCATATCTGGGTTCTGGTGAACACAAACTATGTTGACTCTGATGTGAATGATTTTACTTCCTCCCCTTTATTCCACCAGCTGAGAGGAAAATAAAACTACCCCTTGCTGCCTAGGGCTTGGTTTATGAAGAAAAGAATTTTGGCAGCCCAAATGGAATTCAACACTCTTACCTTTTGCAGAACAGATGCTGAAATTCTGTTAAGAGCAGCTTAGGGTCCTCTGGTTATTTGGATTAACCCACTTTTCACTTTCAAGGAGAAGAAAATCCAGCTACCTCCTGTCTTAGTTACTAAAAATTTTAATATACTGGTTGTTCCTAATATTCTAATAATATTTTAGAAATTCTAAAAATTGAAAATAATCATTATGCTAGGGGGAAATGATGTCCTGAACAAACTCCACAAATAGGTTTTACGGATCCCACCCCTACCCCATACTGAAGAGATACAAGACACCAAAGACTACAAATCCCATAAACTCGGGATTGCTGGCTACTGAGGGTGGAGTTAAGCAACCAGCTAGGTATATAACCAGACATGTGGGTCTTGGGGATGCTTTTTTTTCACTGGCTTTCAGTATGCTATTGGGGTTCCAGTTCAATGGAACTGGTAGGAAACATTCAATTTATATCTCTACCTTTCTCCCTGAGTTATTCATTTCTTCATTTCCCCTTTTTGTGTGTACCTGCAGTTGGTCTTATTATATGTCCCTTCTAAGTGTGCGGATGAGGACCCACAGTCAGGCAACCCATTTCACATTGGGTTTGCCCTGTAACAATTGCAGTCATGTGTTTCTGATTCTGGTTTAAAATATGTATCCATGATGATAACAAATAGGACTGGCATATTGATTTCTCATCAGCATATAATGCTTGGTATTGAAAGAGAGTTATTTTGATACATGGAATGTTCTTACATGTAGTGAGTAAAATGATGTCTGTTTCTACTAAAATTAAATAGATACAAGACCCAACTCATGCCACACTTTGGTGTTTACAGAGAATTTTTATTACTTTCCGTGGTCAGTTTCTATGTCCTCCAGAACAGCACCCCTGCCAAGCACCACATCTCTATGAAAGCTGTATTTTCTCTCTCTCTCTCTCTGTAACTGTGCAACCCTTTGTCTTGCTCCTATACAAGAGCATAATTATGGGCAGACTTGGGGGATGTGACCACTTTCAAGGAATATTTAATGAAAGATCTGTCTTCCTGGTAAAACTGCTGAGGGTCACTAATAGCAAAATCAGTAGGAAAATTATTATACTAATTGGGAAATTCTAGTTTCCAACCAGTGATACAGAAAAGATAGGAAACAATATGGTCTCTTCAACCAACAATGATCACTTGTAACCGGGCCGAAATGTGTTCAAGATCGCCCTGGAACTTTGGAACTTATTATTGACTCAGGAAATTCTGGGTCTTTAAAATCCTAATCTTTTTCAAAAACGACCAGAGGCTACTTGTCAACTTGTGTGCTGTGATATTATAACTTAAGGTAACAAATATGTATTTGGCCTTAATCCAAACAGAGCTCTTAGAACCCTTACAAATTCCTAAGTAAAGGGGTCTTTTATTATGCGTATGAGGTGACTTTGGATCCCAGTAAGAATGGGAGTTGGTTGCTAGGAGACCCAACTAATGGTTAAAGGGTTGGAACTTTCAGCTCCACCCTTCGATTTCCAGGGAGATGCAAAGGACTAGAGACTGAGTTCAGTCATCAATGGTCAAAAAATTAATCTTTTTTGCCTATGTAATGACACCTTGAGAAAACCCCCAAAGGACAACTTTCACAGAACTTGCAGGTTGGAGATGCTGGGAGAGTGGTGTGTGCCGGAGAGAGAGCATGTAAGCTCTGAGCATGGTTTCCCTGTATCTTGCCCTAGGCATTTCTCCCATCAGGCTGCTCCTCAGTTATATCCCTTAATAACAAACTTATTATCTAGTAAGTAAAATGTTCCCCTGAGTCCTATGAACCACTCTCAAGAAAGCGCAGATGGCGACATGGCCTTGCGCTTGACATCTGAAGTGTAGAGGGGGCAGTATTGTAGGACTGAGCTTCCAACCTGTGGAATTGTAACAGGTCCCCAGGGAGAGGGTAGTTTCCAGGTCCTCTGTCCCACCCAAGGAAGGGTGGAGCTGAGTAGGGAGGAGGAGAGATAGGAAGGAGCAAAGAAGGAGACCTGGAGGAGGCATATGGACCAGAGACATGTGAAGAAGCTGTGTTTGCTTCTCAGCCTTACACTTGTACCAGGGACTTGGGGGACATGAAATAGATGTGGGTTAGACACCCATGGGGACATTAACAATGGCAGCCTTTATCTTGATTTTGATTTTGTTCCTTTTGTCCCAGACATACTGAGCCCCTTCTGCCCCTTTCCTTGGTTCCCCAGCAGGAGGTGCCTCAGACTTGTGGCAGGCTTTCTGGCTTCAGGGGTCCTGCTTTGGGCCAACACTGTTTGGCCGGGCATTGTGGATGGATAACTTTGATGCTTGATTTGAAAACTATGTATTTTCTCTTTTTATTGCACACTGTTTTTTTTTTTTTTTTTTATAGAGGCATGTTTTATTTATTTATTTATTTGTTCGTTTATACATGCACTGGGTACAGTCAGAAGCACGGGAGGGTGAGAGAATTCACCAGAGCCAGAGCAGGGAGCAGAGCAGGCAGAAGGACCGAAGTACACTGCTGAGGGGAGCAGCGGGCGGCAGGAGAGGTCTGCGCGCCATGTGGGACCCTCCTCTGGTGGCCAGGGAGCAGC